CCATTTTTATCAATGTCTTCCTTCTCTACCGCTGGGTCGCATCTTTTAATCCCTATGTATATCTTCCTCTTAACACATAAAGGAAATTCAATTTCAAACCGTCGTAAAAATCTTGCACCTTACATGGATAAAAATGATATAGAATGACCAGATTTCTTAAAAGTTTTCCTGTAAATATATAACAATTATAGCGAAAAATTACATATTTAATCTATCAACTATTCATGCTGTTATATTTTGATCATTTAATTATCTTTTTTCCCAAAATCATCATTAAGTTTTTTGTTTCATTTTGATCACTCAATTGGATTCGATTTTTTTTAAATTGTAATATATAGAGTTGATTTATGTCACTTATTTTTTTTACTCGACGTATAAATTGGTTTACAATAATGAATAGTATTAAGAGCAAGGGGGCATCTCCACACCTTCGAAATGTAGAATAGTATGCCAAATCAGACAAAATATAATGCATAGACATAGAGGGCAATGATCATTTTCTCGAAGTCTGGAATAGAATTCTCAGCCTTGGGAAAAAAGGAAAGAAGCCGATTCTTGTCAGAATGCATTGGCTTTGGAACCTGCTTGGTTTAGTTGTCGTGGGCTCGTCTCCTCATAAGCAGAAAATCAAGCTCCACGTGAAAGTGGAGCTTGCATTGCAGGTTGAGGTGGTGTTGCATCTCTGGTATGTTGCAATACCAAAAGCCTCCCCTTGTATCGGGATCCAATTCTGATTCTGGAACCTCAGCTTCTTCCGTAGCCGGGAAGCTTTGCAACAGGAGCCACTGGTTTAATCACGTGCTTCCTGAGGATGTTGCATGTTTGGAAATGATCCCATCCTTGTCTGAGCTGCTGGCAATGGAACTGAACTAGAAGAAGACATGGTGATGTGAAGAGAAGAAGCGAGGGTAGGTGAATATATCGTTTATGTTGCTGAAATATTTATGATATTATAATTTAATATTTAATATTTCTTTTATCAAAATTTCAAATACAAACAATGTTATTTATTATTAACGTTATAATATTATTTATTATTATAAATTAAAATTTATGTGTCAAGTAAAAAAAATTATGTGATATAAATGAGTTATTATGTATTATAAATGTTAAAAATAAATGTAATTCAATTGGGTAACTAAAATGGAACAAAAACTTAAGTTTAGTGATGATCTTGAAAGAAAAAAATAGTTGGATGACAAAAACATAATTGCATTAATAGTTGAGTGACTAAATATATAATTTACCTTTGTGTTTTTAATACAGTTAACAGGCAAATAAGATAACGATTTAAATTTTAAGGGGCAACTCAATAAAAAAATATATAATTTAAGGGGAATGGTGCATTTAAGCCTAAAAAATGACTTATGCAAAAATAAGTGCCCAAAGTATACCATATAAGTTAATTTTAGATGCATAAAGAATTTTTTGTTAAAATAAGGTGTCTAATATTTTCAATGTTACACTTTTAGGTATATGGACTGTAATGCTCATTAAATTCGAACGTTAAGTGGAACATTTCATGTTTATAAAATTTTAATTTTTTATTTAAATTAAAAACTTAAAAATATTTTCATTTTGAAAAAAACTTCCCAAAATTATAAAATTACGAATAATCTCTAAGATCATTAATTTTAATCCTCTTTATCCTCGTCGACTCCACAACGCTGTCGATCGAACTAACGCAGCCGACCAAAACTCCACTAAGTGGAAACCTGAAACCCCTTATTTCTTCCCTCTATATTGTTGCCAAAATTTCTAAATCTTAATATCCAAATCTCAAAATTTTAAAACCCAAAATTCCAAATGAATTGATAAATGTACTAGTGTTCATACACGGAAGAAAAATTTCATACATGAGGGTTAGGGTGACCCCATGCTACTGAACGGGGGTAAGGAGAGGTGAAATTAGTAGCAACGTCGCTGAAGACTACGTACAGGATTTGTTGGAAATTAAGTTTTTTTTTCTTTCTAAAAAATGTTTTTTATTTTCAAAATTTTTTAAAAAAAATATGTACGTACAAGATCTCTTAATGATTGAATTTAATAACCATCACAACGTATAACATCGAAAAATATTAAACACTTATTTTTAACGATTTTTTTAAATACTTAAAATTAACTTAGATATATTTTAGACATTTATTTTTTTACATTAAACCTAAAGATTTAAAAACAAGTGTACAATAAGTATAGAGAGACGACATCGACTGAGCAAACAATTGATGGCGACATTGGAAAATGGGCGTGGGGAAGATTGCGATTTAGAATAGGAAATTATAGATTTTATGTTGGATTAAATTTATAGAATTTTTAAATATTTAATATTTTTAAATTATTTCAAACGAGGATCAATTTAAGTTTCGAGGACTAAAATCATTGATATATTATGTCATATTATTATTTTCGTTAAGCCAGTCATCAAATCTAATGAAATATGACTAAAACAAAAATAAAATGTAACATTGAATATAATTTTGAAAAAAATAATACGTGACAAAATAAAAACACAAAAATATATGAATGATCAAATAAGTAGTTTATTTTAAATTTTATTATACTTAATTTTTTTTAAAATAATTAATAAAATCAGCTTAAGAAGAGTGATAAATGATTTTATAAAATTTTATTAGTTTCATGATTAATATTCCAAGTGATGATTTATAATTTTATTGCTTAAAACTTATAAAAAGTAAAAATATTATTGTAATAATGGGTAAACTACATGTTTAATACTTAAACTATCACTTTTGTTCTGTTTTAGTATCTAAACTTTCAATTTTTCAAAACCATACCTAAAATTTACTTTTTATTTCATTTCAGTATCCCGCCATTAAATATTTATGTACTAAAATGAAACAAAAAGTTAACAATGGGGGTACTAAAATGAAACAAAAAGTAAACATTAGGTATGATTTTGAATTTTTTTGAAAGTTCAAGTACTAAAACAGAACAAAAGTGATACTTTATGTACTAAACGTGTAGTTTACCTTAATATTTATGATGAGGTTGAGTTTATCTAGAACTTTGAGGTATCAAATTGAAATTTGTAAATTACACATGAGTTCTTTCAAAATCTTAGTTTGGTTTCATGCATGAATATAGGCAAATTGCCCCTATAGTAGATCCAATTTATCACTTTTGCCCTTATCGTACTTTCGCACCAATTTAGCCCTCGAATGATGCAATTAAACAACTTGAAAGGCTAAATTGATGTAAAATATGATATGATCGAAAATGACAAATTTGATATACTACAGAGGCAAAAGTGACCCTTAAACATGAATATACTTCAAATTTCAAATTCAATTGTGTATTATAATGTTTAATTGTAGTTGTATAGTAAATTTAGGTAAATAATATTATTTATATAATTAATTAAGGTAGTTGGAAATCTGTTAACTAAAATCGATACCCTTGAAGAGGATATACATTCTCATACTCATGATCTCCATAATCGACCAAAACCCATATTTTCCAACACCGTCATCAGAAATCCCCACCTTACACAATCGTAAGCCTTCAAAAAGTCTATCTTCAACACAACACCCCCTGCTTCCTTTCCACCGGTAGCCATCGTATGAATAATTTTATTTGTCACAAAAATTCCATCAAATATCTGCCTCCTTGATATAAAATCACATAGAATGTCACCAATAAGTTTTTCCAACACAACCCTCGACCTTCTAAACAAAATGACCGATCCAATCAAACTAATAGGCCTATGATCAGATGTTGGATTTTTGACCTTTTAAATTAGAGTGATAAACGACGTATTTATTCTTGAAGGTAGCTTGCTTAAGTTATGAAAAGAAGGAACTGTCATCCAAAGCTACAGAGTTCAAAAGAAAAAAATATTTCTTTACCTTAAATTTGATTTTACCCTTTGAGAAAAAAAAAAAAACCTTGTCTCCACCTCAATCTATTACTTCAAAATTAGTCCCAAAAATTCATTAAATTCTTTTCTATTATTTTGAAATATTTTAATCTTAACATTTTATTTAAGACGAAAAGGCTCATAACATTTAATAAAATTATCATTTTATTTTTTTATGAGATTTTGACACTCAATATTTTATTTTATGTTTAAAAGACTCATATTTTAAAATGTTAATAGTGTTTTAATTAATATTTTCATCTACAAAGAGAGTTATTTGTCACAAAGTGAAACGTTGGGGGTTAAAATATTCTAAAAAAATAGATGCCAAAATAATTATTTTAGTAAATGATGGAGCTATTTTTGGTATTATGTCATTTTTAATTAATCATTAATATCTAATTTATTGATTAATTGATTGAGATTGAATATTTTTTAAGACCTATTATAAAAATAACTTTTTAAATCTAATTTATTTCATTTACAAATGATAAAATTTAAACAATTAATCTTATTTAAAAAATATAATATCTCTTACTAACGTACCTACTCCAATAATCAAAGTTCTCAATACCCAAAGATGAGGCTGCTCCTATCTCTCTCTCTATCTCCCATCAATCTCATCAGTTCATCCACATATCTACCAATCACAAATCATTATAGAACTACTATATTTCAACTCCAAATTCTTCTTTCTCGAGCTACCTAATACTCCTCAAATATGGAAATTGAAATTCTGTGTGTTATAAATCATTAGTCGGCAAGCTCTTCTACCCTTCCTTGTTAAGCACTTGTACTTTTTATTTCTGGGTTTTCATATTGTCTGTGTTGTTTCATATCAACAGTGCCATCTGCCAGAAAAAAGTAGACTGAATTATATATACATAACCAAAAGTTTTTATTTCCTTGGCTTGTTTTTCAACGATTTCTTCTACTTCAGTAGGTCTTACTATGGTCACAGAGAAAGTTGTTTTTGTGAAGGGAAGGTGAAATCCTAGCTAGTTAAGACCGAGAGAAGATCAAATATATCACGGAAAAGACCAACACATCTTTTATATATATATATATATATATATTGTAGAAGACCTGTTAGAACTTACAAGACCGTGTCTGTTTTTGCTCCATGGATTCAGTTCGAGAAATTCATGATAGCTCCAACTGCGGAAACCCCGGACTCATCAACTTTAGCAACAACGGTGCTATTTCAGTTGCATCATCGTCCCCACCGTCGTCGTCTACCTCAACCTCAAGCCGCTACGAGAACCAAAAGCGCCGGGATTGGAACACCTTTGGCCAATACCTCAAGAATCATAGGCCCCCACTCTCTCTCTCCAGGTGCAGTGGAGCTCACGTCCTCGAATTCCTTCGCTACCTTGACCAATTCGGCAAAACAAAAGTCCACACTCAAATCTGCCCTTTCTATGGACTCCCGAATCCACCGGCCCCTTGCCCTTGTCCGCTCCGTCAAGCCTGGGGCAGCCTCGATGCTCTCATCGGCCGCCTCCGAGCTGCCTTTGAAGAAAATGGAGGAAAACCCGAAGCAAACCCATTCGGGGCACGAGCTGTGAGGCTTTATCTCCGTGAAGTTCGTGATATGCAGTCAAAAGCAAGAGGGATTAGCTATGAGAAGAAGAAGCGTAAGCGACTGCCTGCTCAACAGATCCCGGCTCTACCATTACCGCCGCCGCCGCCACCACCGCCAGGTGCAAGTTCAACTATATATATGCATCAACAAAGCAAAACCCCATATGAAAGCTAGCATTTTACTACATACTAGTAAAATGTTTCTCTCACTGGTTGCCTGCCTACATGCTTCATCAATATATGTGGTATTATTTTGAGACATTGGTATATTTTTAGGGTAACTCTACTTTTCCATCTTTGTGTTTGCTTCTAGCTACTACTTTTGAAGCAAACAATGTTGGTATCCTCATCAGTAGTGAACTATTAGTAGCAGTAATACTAAAAAAGAGAAGTCATTCAAGAAGTGATTGTACTGTAAGTTTAGCTGATTTGCTGCTGTAGTATTCTTGAAAAAATTATTGACTGAATTAGATATCGTCCAAATTGTTTATTAAGATAGTGTGAATGCTACCATAATCGAAAAGTTATTGAAATACAGTACGATCTTTTGAGGAAGACACCGGGAACATAATGTATCTTTTCTGTTTTTATGCCGTTGAACAAAGTTGAAAACATACTGTTGAACGCATTGTCTTTTCGACTTCCGACTGATTCTGTAATATTCACACTAGACCATAAAATAATTTTAATAATATCTTATTTCAACCAATAATTTTTTTTTACAACATGGGAGCAATTCAGCCCTGTAAGTTTGTTGTTTGTTGCTTAAATGGAACTGAGGGCATCTAATTGCCCAGTTTTTATGGATTTTGGTCTGAATATTTCGTCACTTTTAACCCCATTTTCTTCTTTTTAATGGGGAGTGTTGGAATTCCTTTCATTTTATTGCTGTTAAGAGCTGGAAAGAACTTTACAATGAAGATCAGTTCACGAGTCAGATTTAACTTCAGCTACAGTTAAATTGTTTTAATGGCTTTGTTATACAGATGCTGCTCAGTTTTCACACAGTACTAATCTCTCTCTCTCTCTCTTTTCCTCACTTCCTCTGAGCGGCACTTTAATTTTACTGCTTCGACCGTCCGGCAAATTTGACGAATAAAATCGTAGTACGAGGTGTTTGATAAATTATTTTTTCAAGTAAAAGTGAAATGAACAGTGAATAAGGAATTGTGTCAGGATCATTTGATGTTTCGAGAAGACGTTACGAAGACATGTTGTCTAAATAATTGCTCATATAGGATAATGTAGTAAAACAATCTCCCATATATTGTAATCATGGATTATTTTTTTAGATAGAGCATTTGTTACGGTGTCGGGAAAGATTACAGTGCGTTTTCTTTAGTTTCACCGGAGAAGATATATAGATTGTAGTGTGTCTTCTTTGATCTCGTCAGAAAAGACACATGGACTGTAGTGTGTCTTTATTTTTATTCTTGTACATGACAAATTTGAAGTCACATGGTCATCCTGACATTCTATCCCTTAACATTGTAACATTTATCCTAGTTCAAAAAATAATTTTTGGAGTGTTTTATTTTGAGGAATTTTTTTCAACATATTATCTGGACAAATTTTCCCATAACGACTTATAAATTGGTATGCTATTAAGGTTGATGTTTACATTACATACAACTTAAAAAAGACATGTTTTTTTGACGTCTTTCAAATACACCAAGTAATAATAATAATAATAAATTTCTATACGCTCTACTGTTAAAATATCACCATAGCTAAGTAACTAACTCACACAGAAACCTTGAATTACTGCTTTCATTCATTTGTAAAATCATACTTTCTACAGCAGTAGCACAAGGCTATTTATACAGCATATGATGAAATGAAAAAAGAGAGGGAAAGATTGTTAGGACGTTATAGGAAAGAGAGAGTTTGTTAAGAAAACTCTAACCACCTCACGCACAATACACATGCATGACTCATATTAATCTATGCATACATCATTCATATTATCATCATACACTAACATTCCCCTTACTACTTTACTCTGCACTTTTCTAAATCAGCATAAACACTAACATTCTCCCTGTAGCAGTAAACTTGTAAACTTCTCAGCCTGCACATTTGATTTGCACAACCAGCAGCTTCTGTCTGTGTTTTACAAACAAGGGAGCAGACAGTGGTTTCGTTAAAACGTCAGCAACCTGTTCAAATGCAGGAACTTCATGTACTTGTAACTTCCCTGCTGTAACCATTTCTCTAACAAAAAAGAGATCAAGCTCCACATGTTTAAACTTAGAATGCAAAACAGGATTGGCACAAACTGCAACTGCACTTGAATTGTCACACCATAGAGTAGGTTTACCATGAGAGACAATGTGCAATTCACTCAATAAAGATTCAAGCCATACCATTTCAGCAGCTGCACACACAACACTCTGATATTCTGCTTCAACTGTTGATCGGGCCACAACCTGTTGTTTTTGAGAACTCCATGAAACTAAGTTGCCCCCAAAATAAATGCAGAAACCAGAAGTGGAACGTCTATCATCCACATCTGCTCCCCAACTTGCATCAGCAAAGCCTGCCAAGGAAAGTCTAGAAGACCCCAAGAAACGTAGACCAAAGTCAATCGTTCCTTGTAAGTATCTTAAGATACGTTTCACAGCCTGAAAATGTGTGTCAAGAGGAGCTTGCATAAATTGACACACACGATTGACAGCAAAGGCGATATCTGGACGAGTGATAACAACATACTGTAGAGCTCCAACAATGCTGCGAAATTGAGTAACTTTCTCAATTGGATTTCCATCTTTAACTGAAAGTTTGCAGTTTGTAACCATAGGCGTAGGAAGGTCATTTGCGCTTTCAAATCCATTGCTTTGTAACAATTCATGAATGTACTTTTGTTGACATAAAACAACTCCTCCTGATTCATATTTGACTTCAATTCCTAAGAAGAAGTTTAGAGTTCCCAGATCTTTTAAGGCAAACTTTGCATGCAATTTATCAATAACAATCTGAACCTCACTCGGATTACTGCCAGTGAGGATTATATCATCAACATATACAAGTAGATACATTAAACACTTTTCACGCTTTCGAATAAAAAGAGAAGAATCAGACTTGGCTACCACAAAGCCTTCAGATTCTAAATAACTTCTCAAGCTATCAAACCACACACGTGGTGCCTGTTTTAAACCATATATGGCTTTATGCAACTTACAAACCAGTTTCTCATCACCAAATTCAAACCCAGAGGGCTGAGTCATGTATACTTCTTCTGTAAGCACTCCATTAAGAAAAGCATTATTGATGTCAACTTGCCTAAGTTGCCATCCTTTTGACAAAGCTAATGTCAATATGACACGTACAATTACTGGTTTAACAACAGTACTAAAAACTTCATGAAAGTCAATACCTGGTTGTTGAAGAAACCCCTTTGCTACCAACCTTGCTTTATATCGAGCAATTGAACCATCAACATTTCTTTTGATTCGAAACAACCACTTACAGTGCACTGCCCTTCTGTCACTTGGTAATGACACTAGAGACCATGTTTTATTTCTCAGCAAAGCCTCATACTCCTCTTGAACAACAACCTTCCAATGTGGACTAGCCAAAGCCTATTTAATGTTATGTGGTTCTTCATCAATCCATGATGTGACTTGAAAAATCTTTGGTTTTGAAATGCCACTCTTACTCCTTGTTTGCATTGGATGAATGTTCAATATCGAGCTACAATCAGCTCCCATATCTATCTGTGGCAGTGTTGTTTCAATTGGAACAGTAATGGAACTCGATTCTGCTGGAATAGCATCTTCACTATTAGTTGCATGAGCATTTTGACTTTCAGTCGCTCCTCCACTGTTTACTTCATGATTTGGCTTACTGTCAGCACCTTCTTCATCTTGCATATTATTCATAGATGAAGTAGTATCAACACATCCTTGTTGAGTTTGAACCTGTGGAGCAAAGACAATGGGTAATTCCCACATTGAAACATGTGAGTGTTCATGTTCTTGATTTGTCATCTTGTATGCATCATAGGGAAATTTGTTTTCATCGAAAATGACATGCCTCGAAACAAACATCCTCCCAGCATCATCAAGGCATCTATATCCTTTGTGTGATGGACTGTATCCAAGGAACACACACTGCTTGGATCTATATTCAAGCTTATGATTATTAAATGGTCTCACCAAAGGAAAGCAAGCACAACCAAACACTCGTAACATAGAATAGTCAGGAGATTGTTGGTGTAAAACCTGAAATGGAGACTTCCCATTTAACACCTTTGTAGGTAAGCGATTTATAAGATACACAGCCGAGATGAAATAATAGCTCCAAAATTTCAAAGGTAATGAAGCTTGAGATAGCAGAGCCAGCCCCATTTCAACCACATGATGATGTTTCCTTTCATCCTTGCCATTTTGCTCAGATGTGTTTGGACAAGAGAGTCGATGCTGGACTCCATTGGTTAGAAACCAACCTCTTTGAGACTGATATTCTCCTCCACCATCACTCTGCAAACTCTTAATCTTAACTCCAAACTGCACCTCAATAAGTTTGTAAAAATTTAGAAAGCAATGCATTACTTCTGACTTTCTTTTAATCAAGTAAAGCCAGGTAAATCTGTTGTATACATCAATGAAGGACACATATTAGGCATATCCATCACTAGAAACAAATGGTGCTGGCCCCCATACATCAGAAACAACTAGTTGAAAAGGAGTTGTGTATTCAGTGAGTGAACTAGTGAATGGCAGCTTGTGAGCTTTACTTTGTAAGCAAGCATTTCAAACAGAAGCCAATGAACTTTCATTAGAAGCAACATTACAAGTTTTCATAACAGTTTTTACTACACTAACAGATGAGTGCCCTAGTCGTCTATGCCATAAGTCTAACAAGCCACAAGACTTTGACACATTATTTAGTTGTATTTGCTTCTTAAGAGATAAAAGCTGATAGAGTCCTTCATCTGTGAGCTTCCCTTTCAACAACACACTTTGTGTCCGAGCATCCTTCACAAAACATTCAAGCGGATGGAAGTCAATAAAGACATCATTATTTCGAGTAAACTGAGAAACAGACAGTAAATTTTTCTTAATGTCAGGAACATGCAAAACATTTTGCAAAATCAGCTGCTTTGTTTTAGATGGCAAGTAACTTTGACCGATATGAGATATTGTCACACCTTCACCATTTCCCATTTGAAGACACTGATTACCTGTGTAGGTCATACCAGTGTTTAGTAACGATGAATCATTTGCAACATGATGTGTTGCCCCCGT